ATGTTAAAATTTTTATGGTGGTAACTTAAGAAGAAATTAAAAATTTATATATTTATTTTGTATTAATATATCGATCACAAATTTTACCTTCCGTTTCCCTACTTTTAAAATTTTTAAGATCATAGATGTTCAATAAAAATATAATCAATCGTCAAATATAAAACCAATAATTAATTATCTAATCAACTATGTGCACATACACAAGGGTGTGTATTATTTTAACAGATAAAATTATTCTTAGCACAAATTATAAGGATCTATATTGAATCCTACCTATAAGCTCATGAATTATCTTTTCATTCAGTTCTTCTATAATTAATTAAATATCAAATCACTTATGATATTATTAATCTCCACTTTATCTTAGAAAAAAAAAGGGAAAGAGAAACCATACCAAAAGACGTTTTGGTCCACCGAACTAAATACTTAGAAAAAGAAAAAGAGATTCAAAGATATATAATATTTTCTTTTTATTAGTTTTGTGAAAAAAATTAAAAATATTATTTCACGAAAATAATCTTTAACACTACTAAAAAATCTGTAAATATAGACGAATTTACAGACGAATTTTAGCATTATAAATGAATTTATAGATAGTTATAGTCCGTCTATAACATGCGCATTGATAAATAATTACAGATAGAAAAATATGTCTGTAATTTATAGACAGAAAAATCTGTCTATAATTACAGACGAAAAAGTCTATCTATAATTATAGATGAAAAAATCTGTTTGTAATTTATTTATGAAATTTTTTACAAATTATTTTATTTTTTATAAACATAATTATTCCTCCCTGTTCCTAATTATCACAATTTATAAACATAATAAAAACTACAAAATTATATATTTAAATCAGAAATTATTTATAAAATGTAAAATTAAAATGTCATTATAAATAAATTTTGGCAGAATCTCCTGTAATATATGAATATTTTCTTATATTTGTTTACATTAAATACAACAAAATTTTAATGTAAATTTTGACAAAATATCTCTTAATATATGAATATTTTCTTACATTTGTTTACACGTATTTAATATAAAAATCTAAATTTTCTTTACACATAATCTATATATTATGTAACAATCTATTAATCAATGCATAAAAAACATACACATTACAATCCTAAATCGTTCTAGAGCACATCCTTTTATAACTCCACAAGATGTATATTCTACAAACTCTGCAAACACAAAGAATTTCACAGCACACAATAATCAGGTTCGGAGAAGGACCTCTACGCCTTTCCCCCAGTCATACAATCTTCAATCCTACAACTCTATCTTAGAAGTTTTAAATCTCTAAAATACATCAAAAATAAAAAAACTAAACCGATTAAAAGTTAAAATATCGTACAAGGAACACAATGATGCAAATTATCTTTCAAAAGGATGCTTCAATTACTCGCAAAGGTAAAAAAACTGAGCTCCTAGAGAGAGACACAGAGAGGCGAGAGAGAAAGAGAGATTTATGAAAAATGAGGAAAGAGAAGGGGGAGGCGCGATGTTATGGGTTTCAGACATTATAGACAGGAAAATCTATCTATAAATGGTTTAATGGAACGGTGCGTTTTAAATGTCCATTTATAGATGAATTTTTTCGTTTGTAAATTCGTCAAAACCATTTACAAATGGAAAAATCCGTCTGTAAATAGTCACATGAAAAGTCGCTTAAAAGGAGTAATATTTATAGACAAAAAAATCTGTCTGTAACTCCTGCTCTTAATTTTCCTCCAATTTTCAAATTATAGATGAAAAAATTCATCTGTAATTCTTGTCTATATAATTTTGCGCCAAATGACGAACAAACTACAGACAAAATTTGTCTGTCTGTAATATCCGTCTAAAAATAGTAATATCCATCTAAAAATAGTACTTTTCTAGTAGTGTAACCAAATACGTCCTAAAAAATTTCAAGACAAAAATAACAAGTTTTAACATATAATAGAAAGCAAGATAACATTCTACATACACCTTAATAGCTCATGAATGATGGTAATTTAACTAATTGTTATGAAAATTATTACGGGTAGAAGCCTTTGCAATTCATGCCAACTTGCATTAATTAAGATAGCAATTTTTCAAGGCTAAGTAGTTAACTTCTCAAAATATTCAATGAGTCACATGAATTCATTTCTAATATGACAGCAAAATCAATGGAGAAAACATTTAAAAATACAATACTAATTAAACATGAGTTTAAATTGTAATTGAACATATCTCGAGTGAAGGAATCAAGAACATGTAGAAGCGTGCATGTTGTGATATTACTTAGGGTTCTCAAAATGATAGAAGTTCAATAAGTGGATCAATGACACAATGTGAGATTTGTCAAAATTAAAGCCCAAAAAATTATATAATTAATTACTATATTACTATTTTCATGTGTATTCATTTAATTTTTAAATATGAAATGATTAAACAAGTTAATTAGATATAATTTTTTTTAGCTTAATCATCTAAATGAACAAAATATAATTTAATACGTCACTCTAAAATGCATTATTTTTTTCCTGGTCACTTTTGTTTTTTCCAAAATGGTCATTCTGAAAAGCTCTAAAAGATCATATGAAGTTTTTGGGCCATGGGTTGCACCCAATATCAATGAGTGGCCCAAATCTATACCTGAATCCTGATCCTGATGTTACATATTTCCAACAAGACTAGACCAAAAAACAAAACATTTCCGACAAGACAAAAGTGTAATGTGGACCAAAAACAGAGACAAAAGTGTAATAAGGTATGGCAATCACAGTTCTTAACTGTGTGTATATATTTTGTACCAAAAAATAAAAGCAGCGTGCATTTGAATTAACTGTTTAAATATGATAATAAGATCATATAATAAAATATGAGATTATTTATAACAATTAAATTTAAAACATGAATTATTAGAAAATAAAATAAAAATATCAACTTAAATTAATCTGATAACTCATAATTATAATCTTTAAAAAATTATTTACGAGAATAACCGTTTTTTTTTTCATAATAATTGTCACTTTGTCAAACACACCAGCTATCTTAATTCTACATTTGTACTCCAAAACTTCTTATCACAAAACTTTATCTTTATATTAATATAAGCATTGAAGATACTTTGAAATCACTTTTTTTTTTTTTTTTGGTTTTTTGTTTTGGAGGGAGGTCAATGGTCATATTATGAACAAATTTAATGAACACAATATATGCATACTATTTAATTTCTCATCAATAACTATTGTGTAAATAATTTATCGTCATCTGCATTTTTTGGTGATAAAATTTAATCATTAATTAATTAATAAATATTTCATTCTTTATATCAGTGTGTTTACTAATGATTAAAAAATATTTTAAAATTTGATTATATTATTATATGAAATAAGTTTTGTGTTTACTTTTTTTTTTTTTTTGTCAAAAATTAAGTTTAAGATAATATATTTCATTTAAATTATTTAAAAGAGGCACATTTTGAGTTAACTTATAACAAATATGTAGTTATTGACAATAACTAGTTATTGAGGATAAAATGAATAGATAAAAAATTAAAAGTAATTACAAATTTAATCATAATTAATTTGTTCATCAGACAGATATATTAGCATTTCTTCAAACCGATATTTTCTTCTTTACAAAAAAGCTTTTTATCACACTTATGCATGCTAATTAACAATTATTTACATTTTAATTATCAAAATAAAAGTAGTAGTAGAAGAAGATAAACAAAAAATTTCAAACATTGTGATCTTGAAGTAAAACGTGAAATGCATGTAACAAGGAGCAGGTGAATTTCTTTTCATTTTGTTGAAAAGTTCACTCCAGTTACTCACTCCACCTTCTGAATGCATCCAACAACAACGACTATGACGCATCAAACGAGCGTTTTGTGCGCGTAGCATTATTATATTACAAAAATCGTATTTAATTATTCAATAAATTTGTACACTTTTTATAAGATAAATAAAAAAACTGGGTAAAATGACATTTATTTTATTTTTATGTAAATAGTAAAAATAAAATAAAAAGTATTTAAGAAGAAAAAAATTTAAATTTTTAAAATTAACATAACATTTTTATTATATGAAAGATTAAATTAAATTAATTTATGCTTATAATCCGAAGAAATAAAATAAATATCTATCATAAATATGTTTAAATGATATAACTAATTAATGGCATTATTATAGGTAATTAACTAAATATAACAAGAAATTATTAAAAAGAAAGAACATCAAAATAGAGATCTGGATCAAAAACGTCTCTGACATGCCAGCATGATTTTCTTCCTCAATATTGACTCTTTTCAGTGGAAATTAATATTGGGTCTTGCACCAATTAAGAAACAAATTGCCTAATTTATCCTTGAACATAGAGAACCCCAATATTTTACGTTATTCGAGAAGAAAATGCGGCTTTGAAATGAATGATCGCAAATCTCAACGTAGTTATATAAATACGATCTCAATTTGCAGACTAAAATATATATTTCAGTTTTTTATTCAAAAATAAAATAAAACCAAAACTCAATATATAGTCAACACTTGAACATATCATACCTTAATTAGTTGCTTACGCACAAGTAAGAAAATTTCAATATATATTATATATTCATTAGTCATATGCTATAACAAAAAAGAAAGATCATCTGTTATGATAAATTACTATTTTGCACGTAATTAAGGATAGTAGGACACAGAAAAAGACAATTGCAAATATTATATATCGTGGCGCACAGCGCATGGGGGAGAGGGACGTATAGAGGATAAGCGAAAATGAAAATCTCCCAAACACATCTCATGCATGTGTGCAAATAATCAAAACCTTAGGGATACAAATTATAATATTTAAATCAAAAGTGGAGAACAACAAGCATTTGTAGTTGGTTTATAGTGAAAACATTACTCAATCATAACCCAAACAAATTAAAAAAAAAGAACCTTCTTTGTTAATTCACATCCCCAATATGTTTATATAAGCAAAACTGCTTCCATTTCCTCTATACCTTGCCACTCTTCCCTTCAATCTCTCTCTCTCTCTCTCTTCTCTTTCTCCCTCGTTCCAAATGAAGTTCCAAGTTGTAGAGCTTCTATTTGGTAAAAACACCCCAAAACAAATGATCCCAAAAGTAACTTTACTAGCAGTGTTTGCTGTACTTGTATTTACTGTCACCCCACTATCCTACCCTTTGTTTAGATACTCTTCATCCGTGAAGGACAAACAATCTAAGCAAGCATCATCTGCATTTGATGATTTGAATGAGTCAGCAAGCTTGCCCTCAACTTCTATAAAGAAGTGTGACATTTTCACTGGTGAATGGGTTCCGAACCCAAAGGCTCCATATTACACAAACAAAACATGCTGGGCAATTCATGAACACCAAAATTGCATGAAGTATGGTAGACCAGACTCTGAGTTCATGAAATGGAAGTGGAAGCCAAATGGATGTGACCTTCCAGTGTTCAACCCTTTCCAGTTCCTAGAAATTGTTAGGGGAAAATCCATGGCATTTGTTGGAGACTCAGTTGGCAGAAATCAGATGCAGTCCATGATTTGCCTCCTATCAAGGGTAAGTCTCTATCTTCTGCCTTACTCACCAAAATTAGATGGTACTTTTTGTTTTTCTTTCTAACATTTTGAATCAATTATTTATGCTTTATTGGTTCATAATTTAATATTTTTTTAATTTTGTAGTTAAGAGTATTCCGAAGTAAAATTTTGATCCGTTGAGTGCATATCGGCTTGCTAGCTAGTTTGAAAAATCAACAAGGGTCTTTAAATTTTGAAAAATGTTTTTTTTTAATTTTATAAAAACATGACATTATTTTTAGCTTTTACACAATATTTTGATGTTTTCATAACTTCGAATTTAAATAATTAAAATAAGAAACAAAGTAAAATAAAAAAATAAGTTTATAATTATGAATAAACTTAATATTTTAAGCTAAGCATATTGTTAAAAGAACTGTCACTTTAATGGTTGATAATATTTTGAGAGATTAGTCTGATACTTTTCACGGATTCTATATAAAAAATTGAACATATTTTGGAATAACCTTTAGGCTAACTTTTGAAATTAGTTTGGAATCTGATAACATAACAAGCCTACGTCTTTACCTTAAATTCAGAGCCTTGAACACCTTAAGAATAATACTTTTTTCCTTAATAGAAATCTAAAGTGTGTTTTTTTCTTTTTCTTAAGCTAACAAATTTCTTATCTAAAACACCCCCCAATTTTGAAGTGGAGAGGGTGAGATTTCAAATCAATGAACAGCCATCATTACTATTTTTCCAATGTCTGTAGACTCGTGAAGATTAGACATCAACAAGGTTTCAAAGTTAGCAATAATATATATATATATATATATATATATATATATATATATATGTTATTTAATAATTTAAAATAAGTTTTATTAGAATGAATTTCACTTAATTTTAAATCAAAACGACACTATCTTTAGCATATTATTTGAGCAATAATTAAAAAAAAAATTTTTTGGTCGAGAACAATAATTAAACCTTATTTTAAAAAATTATGTACATTTAATCAGTGTCGGGTTTACTCCAAATGTCTTTATCCTAGCTATTATTTTTTCAATTGCATATACCTACTTTGTCCTTTTACCAGTAGCGTAGTTAGTTCACCTAAGCCCATTATGGGATTCAAGGATTAGGTAAATGATCAAATGGAAGTAACATGCATGAAAGCATCAAGCATGCATGCCGAGGAATCGAATCTTTTTCCCGGGAAAATGTGCCAGTCACATACATCGCACCTTGTCTTCCACGTTTCTGTCTACCACATGAAAGAAAATCTCAACCTTTTTGTAAATTACAGCACCATAATCACCAAAGATTATCAGTTCGAGAGTTGGTAATTTCGTCCTCCAAGAAAAGATTAAGTGTTCTCCTTTAGTTTAAATTCAAATTATATATCTATATTAAAATATATGCTTTTAATGTAAATTTTTATTTTCTAACTATGACATAAGCATGAACTATGTCTTTTAAACAGAAAAAAAAGAGTGTGTCCAATTTTTGTTTTTTTTATTAAGTACATTTACCTAACATGACTTCAATTAGTAAAAAAGTCAAAATAAAATCTAATATGATTTTCAGTTACTAAAATTCTTGAACCGAAAAATTGCTATACCATAATCTTCTGATGTCTCAACTATACTTGTGCGGCACTCGACCCTCCACGATTAGCCTATGCATAAAGCTATTCTGACAGTAACTTAGTCACTGTTGATCGTTGTAGTATTTTTCATTCTATGGTCTTGGCTTTGGATTATATGGATATTATCAAGAGTCGACGTCACCTACGTCTACAATAATTGTTCAAAGTCCTGCCAAAACAGAAAGTAGAAATGGTTGAGAAGTGATCTATTCATTTTTACGATGGTGTATTGTGTTAATAATACAGCTTTGACCCTTAATAAGTGAAATTTATCCAAAAACAAAATAAAAAAAATATAAGACTCGTTATTTTTAGTGTGAGACACGCAAATTTTACTTATTTATATATGAAGAGTGTGTTAAATGATATTTGCATAATTGTGCTCGCATTTCTCTTATATGACACTAGGGAAAAAAGAAAAAAGAAACAAGGTGCCCCAGCTTTTGTAGTTTTATGTCAAATTGTCTTTAAAATTCCAAGCAATTTGCATAGGGCTACTAGCTAAGTCATGTTTGGATAGGTATAATTATTCCGAATAAAATCAAGCGGTTTGGATTTGCTAGTATAGGTTCAAGTTGTAACATCAAATTCTATCTATAAAAAAGAAAGAGAGAACTAAAAGTGGCCTGGAGTGTTCAATAATTGTTGAAGCTCAACCAAAATAATAGATAGATCTAGTTGAGAGGTCACATTTCTGAAAGTAGAAAAATTAGAAATGGTTTTGTACACGTCAATTAGTCTTGACAATATTATGAATACTTCTCATTGGGCTAAGTCGTTGGTTGAACATGTAATTAATGTCAAATTAAAGCTTGCCCAACCAAATCCATATTTGCATGGACAAAATTTCTTATTAGTGTGTGCTTGAAGGGAATCCAAGATAAGAATCCTGATGGGACCACTCAATTATTTTACTTAAATGTCTGTAATACAAAAGTGAAATATATCATAATGTATTATTGGCATTAGCGTAATGCATTATTAATCAGATTAGCTATCTATTTGTGTGTCTTTTGTGGAAAAGTTCACATGTAAACAATATACCTATGAGCTGGATCCTCCGAGTTTGTAACATGCAGGGTTTCTTTTCACTGGGAACAGAAAAACATGACTTAAAATAAAGGAGGCTAAAAAGAATGGTTCTAAAGATGATGTTCAACATAAAATAATTTGAAAAAGCTTGACCACTGTTAGGAGTTTCAAAGTAGTAATATATAGTACTACATATTAGATTTGAAACTTAACTATACACTTAGGGGTGGCAGGTCACGAGACTATGTATTAATTAAATTATATATATTAAAAAGTTATTCAAGTTTGAGAAATTCTTTTAGGGTTTGTTAGCTCCAACTCTTAAGACTGAATTTAAGTATCTATAAATAAAAAAATTATAAAAAAATATACATTTAACTGAACTACCCCATTTACAGTTCTTGTGCCTTATTTTAATTTGTTTAACAGAATTGCATCTTTTCTTTTGGTCATTAATACAAGCATGTAGCTGTTTGAATATTTTTTTATGCATATTTTTTAAAACTTTTCAGGTAGAATGGCCCATAGATGTATCATATAAAAGAGATGATTATTTTATGCGGTGGAGGTACCCTAGTTATAACTTCACCATGGCTGCTTTTTGGACAACCCATTTAGTCAGATCCGATGAAGCAAATACAAAGGGTCCAGGCCCAACTGGCCTCTGCAACCTTTATCTTGATGAGCCAGATGAGAAATGGATAACCCAAATTAAAGATTTTGACTATGTAATTTTCAATGGAGGACATTGGTTTACAAGGTCAATGGTGTTTTATGAGAAACAAAAAATTGTTGGATGTCATTACTGCCTTTTGGAAAATGTCCCTGACTTGACCATGTACTATGGCTATAGAAAGGCTTTTAGGACTGTGTTTAAAGCCATAAATAGACTAGAGAACTTTAAGGGCACAGTATTTCTTAGGACATTTGCACCATCTCATTTTGAGAATGGTTTGTGGAATCAAGGTGGAGATTGTGTTAGAACTAAGCCATTTAAGAGCAATGAAACACAATTAGAGGGCCTCAATTTGGAGTTTTATATGATTCAATTGGAGGAATTCAAAATTGCCGAAAAAGAAGCCAGAAAGAAGGGTTTGAAATACAGGTTACTTGATATCACACAACCAACATTGTTGAGACCAGATGGTCATCCAAGTAGATATGGACATTGGCCAAATGAAAATGTGACATTGTACAATGATTGTGTACATTGGTGCTTGCCAGGACCTATAGACACATGGAGTGATTTTTTATTAGCAATGCTGAAGATGGAGGGTGTGAGATCAGTTGAAGAGAGACTTCATTTGCGAAGAGGTTGACAAATGAAATGGGTTTTATTTATTTATCATTTTTTTTTACCTAATCTGGCTTGTAATTGTAAGCTACCATATCCACATGTATTGTAATTAATATTTTTAAATTAAGATCAGTTTTGATTTACGTTTTCAATAATAGGTGATTTAAATAGTAAGGGGTTTAATTTCTTTTAGTCTAAAGTTTGAATCTTGTAAAATTAAAAAAAAATGGTCTAGCCAACTAAAATTAATTGAGATTTAAAGTCAATTTTAAATATTAAGACTATAACAAAATAAAAGTGTCATTTATGCATTAATTGATATTCTAATTTAGTTATTATGCAAGAATGAATTAAATGTTATTGGAGCACTCTCTTTCTTTCTTAATCGAATTTAAAACCTTCATCTTTCCTCTGAAGTTAACTACACACCGACATATCTCTTGAAGTTAAGTCATAAATATACTTATCCTTGTTGACTTGAAAATTATATCCACTTCCCTTACACTTTACTCTAATTTTTGCACATTAAAATTTATTTACATATATCTTTTTTTTTTATGTACATATTATACACACATAATATTGTTTTTGTATCATATATTGTGTAAAGAAATTAATTAACGAGATTTGTAAAGTACAACTATAGGAAAAGTTTAATGTTAGTAAAATATAGAATTAACATTTATTTTAAATTGATTTAATTACTCATCAAAAACAATTAATGAATGTAGATAAAAATTTAAACAATGTAATAATTTATGTCATTTACTATTAACCTATCGACCATTTTTCCCAAGGGTTTCCCAACATTGATATTTGTTCAATAAAAGCATTCAGATAAATCTTTGAGCAACTTTGGGATATGAAAATTGAACTATGCTCTAGAGTGGTAAGCTTATTGAATCATCAAAGAAACTATATGGTGTTCAGAGCAAAATTTTTAACATTACATGAAATGTGAAAATTGAAAAATTCTATCCTCAATAAAATGAATTTTTTGTCAACTATCATCAATAACTTAAAAATACAGAATTAATAACTAAGAACCAAACTCTTGAAACAGTGGTCCCAGCTCCAGCTCAAGCCCAATTAGTGTGAGTTAAACTCTTGATCACCATGATTCCAATTATAACCTGCCAATGAAATTTGCCACAAAGTTGAATATGTTTAGAGAAAAAGTAGAGGCTTGAATATGGAGGAGTTGAGAAATTACATAAAGTTTTAGATTTTACTGTGTTAAGAAACTATTTTAGTATCAAGTCTGATAAAAAGAAAAAGAAAAAGATAGAGTATCAAGTTTGATATTAATAACAAGGGGACCATAAATTGATTGGTACCAGTGCAACCAACTGCTGTTGCTATCTGATACAAAATAAAATAGGTGCCTAAAATTCAAGCTTTGCATCTTATCTTGATAATAACAGAAAAAGAACACCTAACAAAAACATGCATTCCCATTGCTCTGTGTTTTTATGTCATGACATATAGGATGGAAGTGTATATATGGTATTTCTTACTCAGAAATGCTTACATATACTGTTGATTAATTATAAAATACATTGTTAATTAATATATCATAAATATGATTTTTTATATTAATTATTGAAATGCTTTTATGCAACCGATATGGGACACAAGGACCACTTAAAGATAAAAGGCTTGTTGGCGTTCTGGATTTTGCCTTGATGCATTATTCCCATGCTGGCGAGCCCACCACCTTCTTCTAAACTTGTATACTGAACCTCTTTCTATGAAGTTTTGTTCACAATAATTATGCTAAGTCATATTCAGATTTGGACTTGCTCTCAATTTTACACAATAAGGTTAGTTATCAATGTACCAGTGCTTATTTCATAAATACTGTAACCTCCAAGAATGTACCAAGCCAAATCTATTTTACTTTTACTTCAGTTTTGGGCCACAATCATTTCTCATTTAATTTTATATACTTCAGAAGCACTCTATAAAACAGTCATGAAAGTTAGAAAATGAAAGTAGAGAGTCAAAGAGGAATATAAGTTTTATTTTTAATCAAAATAAAAGGATTGTAACTATATCATTATTCATTAGTTAATTGGAGCTTGGCAAAATTAAAATATGTATAGAAAATGAACAAGCGAAACACAAAATTAAATTAGTGTAAGTTAAAAAATATGCCAATTTATTATAATAAGTCAGACATTTGAGGTACGAGAATCAGATTGAAAGTCATTATTCAGATGTAAATGTTACTTTTAATGTAACTTTTACATAAAATGAGAGTGAGATATAAAATAAAAAAGTTGCATGTCACATATATTAAACTCTAATATACGTCACACTCTTCTTATAAGAAAATCTATTTCAAATATACATAATAAGTTGTATGTCCCATTAAATTTTTTACTATTCATTCATGTTGTATCCGATATTTTATTTTGTTTTATTTTTTAAAAAGCCATTATTACCATTAACAACTTACCTATGCCCAACAAATGCTTCCTTCATATCAGTTCAACCCTTCACTACTCGAACTACATGTTTTATTCGTATCTGACTTAAGATCGATCAATACCTTATTTTGATTTTGTTTATATGTGTTACTGAATAATTTTTAGGAATAATAAATGTCGAAAATTTCTCAGCCACACACCTTCAATCCTTCGTCTATCCTGTTTTCAAGCCTCTCATTTTCATTGGTGGTGCCAAGTGCCAGATACTTTTCAATATTATTGCTTTTTTTTCCTCTCATCTCTTTTGGTTTGATTTTTCGCTTCTAGTAATCGGAAGTGATTAGTCTTACCAAAACAAACAGTGCAAAAGAAAAGAACGTTTAACACTAATCAGAGCTGGAGTTCTCTCTTCTGCTTTCTGAAGTTAAGACTTAGTTGTTAATGATATCACGTTACCAATAAACTATTTATTTTAATATTTAAAATTAAAAGAATTAATTATTTTATTTTTCACCTTAAATTATAATTATAAATTTAATTTTTAATTTTATAAAATATTATTATTTTTTTAATTTAGTTTAATCGGATCCAACTAAAGTCGCGCGCCTGTATATGATAAATGAGTTTATCACTAAAGATTTTTTATATACACAAAAATTCATTCAAAATTTTGCTTAAGAGCCAACCTTCCTTAGTAAATATTGTTCATTTTATTTTTTATTGCATTAAACCAAATTTTTTTTCAATAAACATAATATTTTACAAAATTTAAAACTAAAATAAAATTTAAAAATTAAAATAGTTAATGCTTTTAATTATAGATTGAATTTCATTGCACAGAAGTAAATGTAAAAAAGCTAACTCACCACCTTTTTACCATAAAAACTAAATAAAAAGTGGTAGCTAGAGTTATAACTAATTTTAATGAGTTAATAAATTTTTTTGAACATTTTGATAAATACATTTTAATATATACGTGGATGGATGTGTATAAAGATGTATTTAATAATAATTTTATTTTAATATAGCGATAATTATAAAATTAAATCATATAATTATACATAAATAGTCAAAATCAAAAGTAAATTAATAATTCTACAAAAAGTTATAAACATTTTTTTAGTTTTTAAATATTTAAATATAACTTATACTTTTTATTCTTATTTTCATAAAAAAAAAAAATCTAACTTGAAACACACACACGCACAATGATTACTTTATGTGACGTATCATGAATCCATGATAATCAATATGCAATGCCACTAGAGAGTGTTGTCACTGACTCAAAATTGAATGGTTGATTCAAATTAACCACACATCAAAAGAGTATATAATATACATACATATATATAAGTCGTATATATGTTGGCAAGTCTTTTGATACAGCAAGCATCAACTGAGCCATGAGATTTCGGTCCATACAACTTCTCCATGGCAAGTACGCATCAGGAAACACTACCAAAAGCGTTATGCTTCTTCCATTCGTTGCGCTTCTTATATTCATCTTCTCGTTGTCTCTCATGAGAAATTCACATCAATCATCTCCTGAGATATATGCTAGCAGTTTGTATGTGAACAGCACAGAAATGAAACAATGCAACATCTTCTTTGGAGAATGGGTTTCTTATAGTAAAGGACCTTATTACACCAACGAGACTTGCCCTTTGATCATAGACCAACAAAATTGCATCAAGTTTGGGAGACCTGACAGAGAGTACCTCAAATGGAGGTGGAAACCCCATCAATGCGAACTTCCACTCTTTGATGCAACCCATTTCTTAAAACTTGTCAAAGGAAAGTCCATGGCCTTTCTTGGAGACTCAGTAGGAAGAAATCAGATGAATTCATTGTTGTGCCTCCTAAATCACGTAAGTAATAACCAATCAATTAATGACACTTTTTTTTTCTTTTTTCATTTTTTAAATTTAATGTTAAGTACTTAAGGACATATATTTATTTCCTTAAGCATTTTTAATTACTTAAAAATATATTAAATGATCTTTATATGTCTGATATAATAAATATTTTTAATAGTTTTTTATTTTTATTTCTTTAATCATGCATAAAATAAAAAATATTTTTTCTTTTCATATAATGGTAATGGTAAAAATTGAGTCTACTACCTCAAACTACACAAGCCACTTAACTTTAATCCAATCTTGATGACTTGACAAATCAATTTCTATTACACCCCCATCCCTCCTCCAATACCAATCTACTACTCAATTGTATTACTTTTAACCCCTTTTTTTGGTTCATTATTAAAGCTATTTCTTAACTAATTGTCTTTTTTTGTGTGTATATTAAAGCTACTTTTTAACTAATTGTAGGAGAGTAATTTTTTTCGAGACACAGTATGTTGAAGTGGGGTTTGTCTCCTAATTATATAGTCAAAGTTCACTTTTTACTCTTACACACGTTATGGCATTACATTAATTTGTTGGTGATCCGTTGCATACATATTACATTACACAAACATTGTCTCATAATTAAGAAGATTAGTCACAGTCCTAGAAAACATGATTTACTCTTTTAGGTTGCACGTCCGGAGGATATTTCTAAGAGATACACTACAGACCCCATATATTTCCGAAGGTGGTTCTATGTTGATTACAATTTTACCCTTGTAACACTTTGGTCCCCATTTTTGGTGAGAGCCAGTGATGCTGACCTCAATGGTCATTCTCTCAATAGCCTCATGAGCCTGTATCTAGATAAGGCAGATGAAGCATGGACTAGTGAGATTGAAAACTTTGATTTTGTCATTGTCTCAGCTGGCCAATGGTTCTTTCGGCCACTTGTGTTCATTGAAAATGGACAAGTTGTTGGGTGCCACAAGTGTGAACACGAGAACATCACAGACCTTACTCACTACTATGGCTACAAGAAGGCATTCAGAACTGCAATGAGAACTATTGTGAATCTCAAAGGGTACAAAGGGGTGACATTTTTTAGAACATTCTCCGCAGCTCACTTTGAGAATGCTGAGTGGAACAAAGGAGGGAGTTGTGCGAGGACAAAGCCTTATAGCAAAGAAGAGATGAAGTTTGAATGGTATATTCTAGAGACATATATGACTCAAGTGAAGGAGTTTATAGCAGCAGAAAAGAAAGCAAGAAAGAGGGGTTTGAAGTTTTTTATGCTAAATACAACTGAAATAATGCTGTGGAGGCCTGATGGCCATCCCAATAACTATGTCTATGGACATACAAAGAACCATAATGTGACATATAATGATTGTGTTCACTGGTGCTTGCCTGGCCCTATTGACACATGGAATGAGTTTTTATTCTATATGTTGAAAATGGAATGTCAGAAATCTTTCATTTCATCGTTACACAGATTTGTCTAGAACATCAGATTTGTCGTGCTATACACTTGAATGATACTATTTATTCTTTTGTTGAAGGTTGTGTGCAAAGTATATTGTACTTCTTTCCTGTATTTACAAACGAGAGGTGATTGAGAAATGGGCAAACTAAATGTATTTTAGCTACAATTGATTATTGATTCTTGAACGAAAATAAAAAGCAATTTGTGTATATATATCTTATTGTACTTCCTCTATATTTTGATGTATTGGTTGCTTAATTGGTAAAAATATTCAGGCCCCAATGTCCCTCATTTGCAAGTAAGTAATGCTCTGGCCTTGGTTTCATTGTCAGTATGGCCCATTGAGCCTTTTACTCCTTCACTTCACAGGCCAAGGTTGGATCATGGGTTAGGCCAGTTTGCTTCAGATATTTTAGGTAAGTGTGGAGTCATAAGCTACATCAATCTTTATTCAGACAACTAATCATTTCGACCCAAAAAAAAGGTACCACTACTCATTGACTTGACCGGAAGAAAAAAAAGGCAAGAAAAGATTTTAATTTTAGTGAAAAAGAATTACCTTATTAATTAATCAGAATATGTTATGGATATAATTTTTATATAATAATAATATATGATTGGATGACAGTTTAATTTTTTTTTATACATCATTAGTTTATTTAAATTAAATTCAATATAAAATGAGTCGTTTACCTTTATTTGAAAAGGAAAATGACTTTTTAATTTGGTCAAAGGTGATATATTAAAATTTTCATTTGTTATGCATGGAAAGCAATCCTAGAATTTGAAGGTAAATAGAGATTTGAACACAAAAGGATAGGTCCAAGTGTTCGTTGTAATTTTGAAGTTTATTTCTTTTTCATTCTAGCTTTTGTAGTTATAAGTGCCAATCACTTCTAATTCGGAGTGAATGAAATTTGACAATAGTCTAACGTCGGAAACCACAGTCATCATAAGACCCATCATTCTATCCGAATCGACATTAACTATGTTGCATGGACTCTAAATAAGCGTCCAATCTTATCAAATTACCCCTATCACACATTATTAGCAAAAAGCTTCACCTGTGTAAAGGAAGAAGCTAAAAAGCCTAACTTCTTAATTTTGAAATAGCACTTTGTGAAAATCCCTACCAACTTACTTCTCAGTCCCTTCATTTCATCCCATACAAACAGGCCCTAAATAAAACACTCCATTAATTCTCAACTACTCCATATATAATTTCTTTTCCTTTTCTTCTTGTTCAACTTCATCCAATACCTTTGTTTTCTCATCATCATTCATCAATAACTGAACCTGACGAAGATGCTCCCCAAAGACATCACCTCCAAAACACTCTTAGACACTTCCAACCCCATAACTCCCCTTGAAAACGTTGTAAACGACTCAGCAAGCATGCTTACTAGAACTTTTCCAGAGAATGTCCTAAACGCAACCCTACTACCTGACCTCTTCAATTCACATGCAACGTCTTTTCTCGGAAAGCTTCAAGAGCTTGTAAGAATTTCGTTTCGTCGTTCTATAACAATAGGCTTCGTTCTACTCCTCCTTGGGAGCATAATCATGACGATTATTATTTCGATAATTCCATTAACGCCGTTGATTATAGTAACGAGCCCCATATGGATACCAACCGTCACGGTTTTCTTGCTCATTACCGCATCGTTCTTGTCGATATCGGGGTTCGTTGTTGTTGCGGTGGCGATCGCGTTATGGGGTTACAACTACTACAGGGGACGCACCCCACATGGCCGGCGAATTGGGTGAGCTCATGGTGACCACCGAGCCCACAAAACTCTTCACTACGAGGTTTTATTTATTTACTTTAAATAATTATATATTTTTTATTATGTTACTGTGTATTAAGCCGCAACATATCATTATTGATTAATATTTTTACTTTTAATTAAATAAACTTGATAGTTAATGCTAAGTATTTCAACTTGTAATTGTGGTATATTGTGAAAAATTCGTAATTGTGTCTCGAATTTGAGTTTGAATGAATACTATTATGTTAAATATTTTTAAAAAATTGTATCTGCAGTAATTTTATTCGGTTCATGCAAGATTGACTTCAATGAAATATACCTACAGTTTTTTTAAAAAAATTCATAATTATGTAACGTAAAAATAAAGATGTGTTGTGAATTGTATTTATTTAAGATAATAAAAGTCTATTATGTAACTTTGTACTTCTTTTTAATTAGATGCCACAGATTTATTTGTTTTTAGTTTTTTATTTTTTATTTGGCTTGATTTTTTAAAGCATTTTATATCATACTTTAATGTTATATTATATCTTTTGGAGTATAAAAATATCATACTATTCTCTTAGATGTCAATTCACAGTCAATGTTGTACTAAATTAATGTCTTCATGATAACTATGGTCATTTTGAATTATAAAACCATGGTTGAGCAGTTAGGATCAACAATGATCCTCCAATAAAGACAAGTATCCGTAAAATCTATCCCAACAATCAAAACACACATAGCAAACAAAAGCTTTTGAGGCAAGCGAGGCACAATTATAAGTTTGAAAGCTAAACTACATATAACTTGTTATAAGCATCAAATCACACATGACAAATTTGCTATTACACGATCTAGATTCAGTAACTCATATTATTGCAATGATAAAAACTCAGAAAAAGGGGTAACTCAATGGCTACACAAAGCAAAGGAATTTCAAGTCTATGTTACACACTTTATGTCTTACCCATATTCTTCAAGTGTTACACCATTCTTAACTTGAGTATCAAAGTATATTCTGCAAGATATTATTGTTGACTTAATTTATATCATTAATTCTACATAAAATATGCATTGAGTATAAAAAATTTAGTATGATTTAATTTTGTCCTGGTTGCGGGATAATCTATAATGGGTTGGCCTAGTCTACTATTCTAATTTTTATTTTTTAAACAAAATTTTCGGTTTGAGACAGAACTAACAAAATGTGAATTATAATTTTGAATTGAGATATAAAAAAGTGAGTGTTTTTTTCTTGAATTTGTCATCCATTAATAAATTGTTATAATAAATTTTATTTAATCAATAATAAACTTGATCTATTTAATCTTTTTTTACTTTTAACTAAGTTCTCATTAATTTTAGCTTTAAAAACTTTCTTTTGATGAAGTAACAATTATTGAAATTATTCTGTAATTATTATATGAATTTGGAAAATAATTATATCTTGTTATTTAATTGATATGCACCCATTTTCACTTTTATGATTTTACTTAAAAAATTCAATTTGGAAAATATTATAATACACACACACACCTATATATATATATATATATATATATATATATATATTCATGAAACCTACCAAGCAATTACTATTTATGATAGTCTTTTTTTTTTTTACTTTGGTCTATTAAATTGAATTAATAGAAGATGAAAAATTAATGTATAAATAAATAAAATAATTAGAAAATATAAAAAAAAGATGAATAGTTTATTTTTTATAAAAAAATATTTATTCTGAATACTATTCGTAGCCTAATGAACATTTTTAATTTTTTATATTAATAATTAATAATATATTGAGTATCTAAATTAAGACAAATATCCTTGAGCCACCTATTCATGCTGTCACGACCAATATCACCGTTCAGGACAACCCTCTTCATTATTCTTAATAAATGCGTAAAGTACTAATGCTAACGTTTATTTTGAATAAATTTTTCAATAATATTTATAAGGAATAAAAAAAATTATGTAATAATATAAATCAAATTCTTTCTATAAATTTAAACTAACTTAGTTTTCTCTATTTTTAGAAGTTATTTTATTTAACTTCTCTAAAGATAGATTATTTTTAATTTATAAAAAAAATTTGTTTTTGTATCTCCATTTATTAAAAATGATCTACAGACTCTGGACAATTCCTTCTAACTTCTAATCAGGCGAGTCTGTAATCTCCATCACATTGTATAATAAATATTGGTGTTTGTGTATTTAATTACGTATATGCATTATGCAACTAGCAATTAATTGGAAGATCCTACTCATTGAATCTTAGAGGACCCATATGCCACATATGACAGAACTCATGTAAATTCAAAAGGTTGTAGTGGTTGATGGAGGAAGTGGGTCCATTGCACCCTTGGTCGACTATTAGACTTTGTAAAGATGTGATGCCCATTTGATTTATTTGATTATGAAACGTGGTAACACAATAATTGTTTATTTTTATTCACAAGTGTGTGCACTGGCACTGCAATCTCCAATATAGCACACATATCATGTTAGTTATGAGATCATGGCAAGTTGGCAACTATAACTATTTTTATCAAGTCTTGAAGAGTTATGCTGCTAGTTTGACTTTGCATTCTAAGGATGGCTTTGTAGCATGTTGTGCATAAAGTTTGCATGCATCGTTGCTTCTTGTATGTTGAGCTTTGCCTCTCAATTCCCAATTGTGTGTGGAAGCATGCATACCTGAATTCTAAGCTCAATTTGTAAGCTTGAACATGCTATGTTGCAAGTTATTTGTTGCAGCAATGTTTTCGCTATCGATTAGATGAATAATATTAAGCTTGATATAGTTTAAGAAGAGAAATTGTGTTTATATTATAAAATTGTGTAATATTTATTTTTATATAACAATGAGACGTGAAAAATACAATTCTCTACTAATAAGAATCTGCATGGAGCAATTAGTAAACTATATGACACAAAATTAATGATCATTTGAATTAAAATTTTAAGGAAAAAAATTCTCAATGTTCGGATAAAAATAATTGATCCTGATGTCTAAGAATAAAACTCCATTGTAATCAAAATGGGTATATAAATAAATCTCAAATAAGCGCATAAATCGCCTTAACAACCAGCCACATAACTAAGTATGAATCTTTATATTAAAGAAATAAGAAGCTAAAAAATCACCCAAAAAACAATATGTATGAGGTTTTGTTGAAAGTAGAAATCTCAATTTACGAATCACCAATCTATCTATTCACTTTCAAGAACTTCTTATCAAGAATTTTGATTTTTCAAATTTTAGCTCAATTCAACGATCGATGAACGACGATCTCTACTTATGATTTTATCATGACTGTCGTATGAGCATGTGAGTTAGCTTAATTTCTTCTCTTTTCTTTTGTCGATTCTATTACTTTCTTAACAGAACATCTTTAATTGTTTACTTTAATCATATTTTCTCGTTTTACACAAATGAGACATGCAATGAACTTTCATAGTTTGCGTCTTTCTTTCCATAAGAAAGAAGTTTAATATCTAATATTAGGAAGATAAGAAGAAATAAAATAAAGTCAAAATGAGAGACATGAGTTAATTTTTTTAAATTAATCCTATAAAAATAAACGATCTATATGCTGTTAAAGTTTTAGTATTTTGCAAATCAAATTAACATTTTGAATTGTTGTAGCTATAATAATTAGCGGTTATGTGATTAATAAATCGTCAAATTAAACTTTGTAACGAATATGACGTGACACCATGATTTGTATTCTAAGCCACGTTTGATTAGTCATAATATTTATATTTTTTAACATGAATTTTGCTGGTTAATTTGATCCAGGATTACGCATTTTTGCATATTACGTTTGTATTAGACTAATTTTAATCGAATTGAATAGAATTGTGATAAGTAACAAAGTCATATATTTTTGAACTCTTTAAGCAAATGATTTTCTGTGAACTCTAATTCGAGACTTCTAATCAGTCAAAAAGTTCCTTATCATTAATCTTGATAACATGTTCTGGATTGGGTAAATATGGTTAGAATTTATTCTATTAGAGTTTATTTAATTTGAAAGTTGAATTACTTATAAATATGTATTCATGCAAATTCTATGAAGTAAGAGTGTGTTTAGATAAAATAATACAAATTTACAAGAAAAGAAAAATGAAAAAAATGTAAAAGAGATGCAGCTGAAAGGCAATATAAAAAATTTAAAACCAGTATCTAATTGTATTTTTATTTTAATTTAGTTTTTTATTGTTCAAATTAAATTTTTATTTTTACTTTTTTAAAACACTTTATACGTTTTTTTTGTTAATTTATATGAATTAATAATACGTCATATTTTTATTAAACATGAAATTTTTAAATAATATTCTTAAAATTTAAAAGAAATAAAAATGGGAATTTTAAATTAGAAAACTAAAATTATTCATGAGCTAAAATTTGTAGAAAATTGTAATTAAGTTTATATATATAAGGCAGGAGTTCATACCAGGTAGTAGTGTTATTGTTTGTTTGTTTTCTTTACATATTGTATAGTTGGCAAAGAGAGGGAGCAAGCAAGTAAGCCATCACTTTAATGGGACAGAGAAACCCATCCACTTGAATTATATTTTAGCTCAACAAACTGTAAACTTCACTTTGAAGAATGTGGCCTCATTGATTCACTATGCTTATAAACAAAACTGATTGGACAGCAACATGTAATTGCATTTGTGATTCAGATAACTATTTATTTCTCTTTATCCATTTTGGCACAAATTATTGCTGTGAAAAGAAGAATGAGATCCACATAATGAGTGCAATACAATAAATAAATACAAGTTAGAATCAATCTCTCAGCCTCTGAGTCTCTGACTATTCCAACTAACTAATACTTAAGTAAGAAACCCTTACTTTGCTTCCTTTTCTTCTTAACTTCCAAGAATTTATATTTAATGCTGACCATTACTCACAATCAGAGACAATCACTGCAACATTCTATGCCAATACTCTTCCATATTTTAATTGCAGAGGCACGTTCTTGGGCTATAATTAATAACATTTTGCAATCATTTTTTTATTATCGTAAACTACCACTGCTTATTGCAATTAACTAATGAATTATAATGCCAAAAACATCTTATATCAAGCGGATTTTTTGGAGTAGCTTGAGCTATACATCTCATATTCAAGGAAAGAATTACTATATTCTAGTAAGTAAAATTTAAAACGTTATAATGAAAGGGAAACTTATAATTAAGAATTAATTCATTTATTAATTTGTTTATGGTAATATATATATATATATATATATATATATATATATATATAACACAATTTAAGATATTCTTTAAATTTTCTGAGCCACCAAAAGACACGGCAATTTTCCGGTGATGACAGAAAATACTATTCCGTAGTACCAACAAAGTGAATGAGGCAGAGATAAGAGGAATATAATCTCACAAAATATTTGATAAAAAAATTAAAGAATCTTACAAAACACTGAAAATAGGAACTTACAAATTACAATTAGTAAACGAGAAAATCCACCCTGAAAAAGGAAATCACAACGGTTAAAAGAAACTTTACAATATGGCAATAAAAAAAAAGTGATAAAATGATAAAAGTATTAATAACCAACTTTGTTCCTCCGATTCAAAAAAGTGAAAACAAAATAAAATTTAAATCATATGGTTTAATGATTGTTTGTCCCAATTTTCAATTCGTACACGACCTTTTCCCATTAGCAATTTAGCATTGCATGTGAGTGAAGGACAGAGAGAGAGAGAGAGTAGCAGAGGCTATTCTGAAAGTCGTCTCCACGTTCTCTTTCGCACATCTTGTGGGGTGTGCTGTGTCTGTGTGTGCCACTATTGTCATATTCCGCAAAATCAGCTTTTTCCTGTGGAGTTTTGAAGCTTCCATTCTTTTGCACAACTCCTACTCCATACAAAGACCCTTTTTCTGATATTGTTGAAGGTTTCATTTTTAGTTCATGGGTTCTAGCCAGTGGCAGTTTTGGAGATCTGGGCATGCTGCATTTTGCACTTGACTTTGGCTGGATCATAGTGCTGGATGCTCCTTGATTTGTGTTCTGCTGCAAAAAAGGGTTTGTTTCATGAGCTGGGTTTCTTTTCCCCATTCTGAATTTGCTTTTACTTTTAGTATTGTCAGGTGCTGTAGCCTACAAAAGTGTTAGCTTTCCTGAAAGTAGTTTGTGGGTATTGACTTTTTACTCTTTGCCAAAGTTCTTTTTAGGAATTGGGTCTTGGTGGATGTGTTGGTTTTTTCTCTGAAGAAATTTGAGCATTGCTTGTGGAAGGGTTGATCTGAAATATCAAGTGATATTTGATCTGGAATGTTGTGATGGTCTTGTTTCTTGTGGGAAAAGATTGGAAAATCTACTGTTAGTGGTTTTAGGGAGTATCAAAGTAGTGGTGATGAGAGTGTTTTGCTAGTACATTTGTGATGAGAGTGTTTTGCTAGTACATTTTGATCTTGAAGGAAGATTTGTACTTTGCATAGTGATGGCTTCAACCCTTTCTCCAAATGCTTCTCCTTCTGCTGTGCCTCCAGCATCTGGTGGTGTTCTATCACTGCCTCCTTCTTCATCTTCTCTAATAAATTCCCCCACTCCACCATCACCACCCAATGTATCTCAGCCTAATCAAACATCCAATTCCCCTGCCCCTTCATCTCCTTCTGACCCTTCAGCTCCACCTCCTTCTCCTCCACAGGCAGTGCCAGAAACTCCTCCTCCTTCTCCATCCCTCTCTCCTCCCCCATCATCCACACCACCACCAACTTTGCCCCCTCCTTCACCACCAGCTTCTCCACCACCAGCATCTCCTACACCTCCAGTTGCAACATCACCACCAGCACCAGCAACCACTGCCCCTCCTCCAACTGAGACTACACCTTCCCTTCCAACTTTGTCCCCACCACCTCCAGCAACTGGTTCCCCTCCTCCTCAATCTTCAGAGGCACCTCCCACAACAATTCCACCTCCCTCTCAACCGACTTCACCGTCTCCTCCTCCTCCAGCCAATGTTCCAAGGCCACCATCCACCAGTTCTCCTCCTCCACACAAGGAGAATCCACCTAAAATAACTCCTTCACCTCCTTCACATGCATCCCCTCCATCAGTTTCTCAATCCCCTCCATCTCCTCCTTCCATTGATGCTCCCCCTCCATCCACATTGCCATCAATTCCTCCTTCAGTCCCTTCAGGCTCTTCACCTCCGGTTTCTTTGCCCGACCCCCCAACTAATAAAACAACTGCCGGAGGTCCAGGTGGTCCAAGTGTATCATTACCGTCTCTTCCAACTGAGAAACCCACTGCTAGGCCAACTAATGATGGCAGTAATATGGCCTCAAACATCAAACCTTCACATTCAGGAGGGTTAAGTACTGGAGGATCTGTGGCTATTGGCATTGTAGTTGGCTTTATTGTCCTCAGTCTTCTTGTTATGGCTGTGTGGTTTGTACAGAAAAGAAAGAAGAAGGTAGCTGGATCAAGAGGTGGTTACGCTGCACCTTCTCCATTTACCTCATCCCACAATTCAGGTATTGCATTGTGCACTACCAAATATTAGGAATGTATACTCTTGTTGGTTATTACATGTTGTTTGTTGTTAACCTTTATTATTTATTATTGAGATAAATCCTAAAGGATTTTTTCCAGCACTGCTTAAACATGATTTAATCTTGGATGTAGTTGATTCTGGTTCCTGGATATTTCAATAATGAATCAGAAAATTCCCCCAATTCTGGCTCTTAAAGTATTCATCAAAGACTCAAAAACCAGAAATCCAATGTCAGTGTCAGTGTATATTGCTCAATTACAACATGACACCAATTTCTTTTCTTATAACATGGGGTCCTTTTATTTGATTTTGCAAATCGCTTTATCAATAATTGTTAGGCATTACATTAGGATAAAACTTAGATCAAGCTCCTTGTATCCTTGCCATCAAGTTCTCCATTTAAATGATGGCACATGGATGTTCTTTCCCATAATAAACAACTTCTGTTGAATATGTGTTGCAGATTTTCAAATAAAAATACATGTCATCGTTTAGTTTGAGAACTTGATGACAAGTATATAAGGAACTTAATCTAAATTTTGTCAATTACATTATGGCTTGCCATCTTTTGGATAATATGATTAATCTGCTGGATGAAAGAGGTGATTTTAGTTTATGGCTCTTGCAATTGTCTATAAAAGATGTAAATGCATTTCTGATCTACACAGCCTATAATTATGTCTACTCTGAGGTCTAGCAGTCATTTATTTTTACTGTGCATTATCCTGTTACATTGTTTGTTTCATAGCCACCTTAAGGCAAATTTTGTGGTTACCAATCTCTTGATTTTTCTTTACTGATATTCCTATGTTGAACAGTAAGTTCTGTTTCAAGACACTACAATTAGGTTATGGCTTTGGGTAGTTTGCAGCTTTTGATTGGTTCAAATTTCCCTGTTGTCCCTGCAACACCTCACCTAAAAATATCTATGTTGTGCAGATGGGGTCTTTGGTTTTCTTCAGTATGAGACAAATTTTAGCTGATTAAGATAATTAAGCTGGATAATTATTTTCTGACTTTGTTTTGTTATAAAAAGTTTTGGAATGTTAGCCACATTATGTTTAAATCGTATTGCATTATATAACTAGCATATGTTTGTAGTAACTTTATAAATTCAGCTATAATTAAATGTGTAAATGGCTGCTAGAATAATATTTTTAAACTTTGATATTCTCTTATAGGTACCTTATTTTTGAGGCCACAGTCTCCAGCAAACTTTTTAGGTAGTGGCTCTGGTAGTGATTTTGTATATTCACCATCTGAACCAGGTGGAGTAAGTAGTTCACGATCATGGTTCACATATGAAGAACTTATCCAAGCTACAAATGGTTTTTCAGCACAAAATTTATTGGGAGAAGGCGGATTTGGTTGTGTCTATAAAGGTTTGCTCATGGATGGAAGAGAAGTAGCTGTTAAACAGCTCAAAATTGGTGGTGGGCAAGGGGAACGTGAATTCAGGGCAGAAGTTGAGATTATTAGCCGTGTACATCATCGTCATCTGGTTTCCTTGGTTGGTTACTGTATATCTGATCATCAAAGATTGCTTGTGTATGACTATCTTCCCAACAATACTCTTCATTACCATCTCCATGGTAAGATAGATATCTTTGATTAAATAATTTGAATAAACAAGGATAATTAGTTCATCACAGAGAGCGTGAAGGCAAACACTAAACACCAATATTTGCTATTCTGCAAGCCCCTTCCAGAAAACATGGTGCATCAGTTCTATTGACATTTTTCAAAATATTTTCTAAGTGAACTTGTCCAAGGAGAACATGCCATGTACGCATACATGCCCAATCAAAATAATTAACTAGAGTGATAGAAGCACCTGTGCCTTAATTTCATTTTTTTGTCATTAAAAATTGCTTAAAACTGTTTTAAAATTGGCCTATAGTTATTTTTTAAAATGTCCACAACATGAATATGCTGTATCCCACCATGTCAGAGCTCGGGAAAAATGAATACATACGAAATTGTATTGGATACATGTTAGTGTATCGTACAAAAGATGTGTCCCAACATGTGTACACTGCACCAAATTGGTGTTTCACTGCTATATAGAGCTGTAATGTTTGATATCTCCTTTTGGTAAGCCACGGAAGAAGTAACATTTATAAAGTTAATTTATTTACTCGATGACAAATTATTTGAACCCTTTTTTTATTAATATTTTTAATTTTTATTATTTTTAGGGTTGACCTTTTGGAAAATATTGAAATTATGGATTACATACTTGATTATTACCTACTGTGGTAGTAGAAACACATACGTTATTATTGTTTCCCCATGAATTTACTATTATCACCTGATGTTGCCCGTGAATTTACAGTCCAGTTAGGTTGTTCAGTAAACTCCTGTCATTGTGCCATTATGAATCCATGTTTTAGGTTCAAAGACTTCATAGTTCTTCATATAAAATTTGATCTAAATCTTGATGTGCAAATTTAAATTTTGAAGGTGAAAACAGACCGGTTCTGGATTGGCCAACCAGAGTCAAGGTTGCAGCTGGTTCGGCTCGTGGAATTGCTTACCTACATGAAGACTGTAAGTTTCTTCTTTTTTCTTAGTATTTTCTAGTGTATAGTTTTCCACCGAAGACTGGGCATTTGCATGATGGTACTGCATGTTCCTTTTATGATTTAAGGTATTGTATTAAATGTATAATTTTCTTTAAATAAGTGCGCTGAATTCCTTAGAAATTTTGCTACCACAATTTAGATGTTAACATCAGACATGGTTGCATTCTTGTTGATTGCACAATCATAATTACTTATGATTTTACTGTTGATCTTTTTGGTTTTATAGCAAATTATATTATTGATCTTATTTCATTTTAACTCTTTTATCAGGCCATCCACGCATCATTCATCGAGATATCAAGTCATCAAACATCCTTCTAGATCACAACTTTGAAGCTCAAGTAAGCCACTTTTATAATCTGTAACCGCCAATGCAGAATACATTTTGAAAATTTTAAGCAAGTTTGTTTAGTAAATTGATTCACATTTAAATTCCACCTTGTGCTACGTTGACGTCTTCAAATTTGTGTATCACTTTTCATCTGATTGTGACCTTTTTTGGCATTATTTTGCCATCAGGTTTCAGACTTTGGGCTTGCAAAATTGGCGCTCGATTCAAATACTCATGTGACTACACGCGTAATGGGAACCTTTGGGTAGGTTACACCTTATTTAATTGGGAAGTTTGGACCACATAATTTGATCAAATCCTGTTATTAGCCCTTAAATTTTATTATTTCTTCTGACTATCCAAATTGCGTATCAAAATAGATGTATGAAATCTATTGTATAAATTGCTATTTATCATTGTTAATATTATTTTTCAGTATGAGTAATAATTATTAGTTTGTTAATTAAGTTGGAGAAGGACTGTAAGTATTGTATTATCATCATCTGATGGCTTATTTAAATTCTAATTGAAATATTTTCAGCTTAATTTTATTCCTCTCAGGTTGTGTCTGTTATGCACATTATTTATTGATCTTTGATGTATTATGTTTATGAGTTGTTTTTATGGGCTTTTTTAACATATGAAACTCAAAAGAGTCATTTGGATATTGATAATAATACTCAAGTATGACCAGTTCCTGTTCTTAGTATATCTAACGGAAATGATGGTCTAATTGCCAGGTACATGGCACCAGAATATGCAACAAGTGGGAAACTAACTGAAAAGTCTGATGTATATTCCTTTGGGGTTGTGCTTTTGGAGCTAATTACTGGTCGTAAGCCTGTAGATGCATCTCAGCCAATTGGTGATGAGAGCCTGGTTGAATGGGTGAGTCATGAGTTTCCATTAACATTGCTTCTTTTATTATTGCTTCTTTTATTATTATTATTTGGAAATACATGTAGAAAAATAGGTTCTAAAGATTTAGCTTACACAAATGTCGTATTTTAATTGATTTATATAGCTTCATAGGTTCAGACTTCAGACATTGAAAAGCAATAAAATCTTGTTCACATCATTTACAAAACTCTGAAAACAGATAACAACTTGAAAAAATGTAACTTATTTTTTTTTATAATTATTAGTAAAAGCATAATGAAGAGGTAAAAAACCAGGGACAATCTTAAATCATAGCTCATGTTTCATAATTTGTGATTTAGAAAAATAGAAATTTTTATGAATGCTGAAGGAGATATTTGTGATCAAGTATAAGATCAACTTGTACTCGCCTTCATTTGCTTACATAATAGTACTCAATTACATGCATTTTCTATAGATTGTAGAAGAGAGGCAATGGTAAATTGTTCATTTTCAATAATTAACAAACTTACATCCAGGCTCGGCCTTTGTTGACCGAAGCACTTGATAAAGAGGACTTTGAAATTTTGGTGGATCCAAGACTGGGAGAGAATTATAATAGAAGTGAGATGTTTCGGATGATTGAGGCTGCTGCAGCCTGCGTGCGCCACTCATCAGTAAAGAGGCCGCGGATGAGTCAGGTAATGTTATTCTCTGGAATTATAGCAGGCCACGTATAGCTGTTGTGATTTTGAAGATACCAATTTGTACATGCTTTGATTTCATTTGTGCATCACTGCTTCAGGTAGTGAGAGCTTTAGATTCCTTAGACGAGTTTACGGATCTCAATAATGGAATGAAACCGGGGCAGAGCTCGGTGTTTGATTCTGCACAGCAATCTGCACAAATAAGAATGTTTAGAAGGATGGCTTTTGGGAGCCAAGATAGTTCCAGTTTCTTTAATGAGTCTCAGAGTAGCTGGAGGAGTAGAGATCAGGAATCAACTACTGTGTTTTCCCAAAACAAATCTGCCACTTGGAATGTTTGAGTCAGATGATTCACTCTTATCTTTAGGGATTGCAGAAATTTTGATTGATGCACAACACATTGCATTTCCTTGGGTGTACTCTACTCTGTAAATCTCATTTCTAATATTTTTGTTATCTTTATCATGATTTTGCTTGCTATGGCGCTTTGATTCTTTGTATATTAGGTTATTTGTTACAGAACTCAATGTATTTATTACTGATGTTAGTGATATAATACATGTATAAGTTGTGACCAATCTGAATTCAACATTCCTTGCAATTTAAATTTCATTAATATGCGCAACTTGAATTAAATTGACATATATATTAAGATATGATTTTCTCCATCCGATTCTTATTATATTTCTTTCATCCGATTCTTTTTATAAGAAATATAATGAAGCATTTTCTTAGTCTTTATTATAAGTAATAAATAATAAATTTAAGATGTATTAATTACTAAATTTTTTTTATACTTTTTTTATTAGTATCATTAAATATATTAATTATTAATTATATCATTTAATATCATATGTATTTTTAAAATAAAATTTATATTTATAAAAAATATAATAGATTTAATTATTTTTTTATCCTGATAATTTAATTTTTTGTTTCTTATAAAAAAGATCATAATTATAAAAAGTTATAATAAAAACTCAAATAGAATAATGCTTAAATACTTATGGTGAAAATGTGTTTATGGTCAAAGCAACAGATCCAAGCGGGAACATCTTGACCATAATATAAAAAAAACGAGATCCAAGTGGGAACATCTTCATCATAATATAAAAAAAATGATGGGTTAGAACTCTCTTTGCTGTTGAAGTAGGAGAGTTTTTACGTAGGAAGTCTTACAATAAGTAGGACACCATAACGCAACTCTAAAATCTTAAGGCAATAGGTACATGAATCTATCTTTTTATAAACTCCTAACTTTCTCATATCTCATTCCATGTGGGACACAATTCATACTTGATTCCAACATTCTCCCTCAAGTGTGAACCTATCTATATTTCATATAGGCTTCCTCAGTAGCAGAATTTGAACCCGTCTATATTTCATATTGGCTCCCTCTTTCATCCATGGTCTACACTAGAGTAACTCTTGCTCTCTTCCACGTTGGCTATCATCCACTTAACGACACTTTTTCAGCTCCACACGTAAGTGCCTTTGGTATCACTATTAGGTTGGGAGAGTATTTAAGTAGAGACTTATAATGAGTAGGACACCACAATGCAACCCCAAAACCTTAAGGCAGTGGGTACATGAGTCCATCTCTTTATAAACCTCCTAACTTGCTCATATCCTCTTGATGTGTGAGTGATTGTATTGAAGTAGAGGAGATTGAGAATATAGACAAGCATATGGTAGGGTGAGGTAAAGTTGATGATCTTGAGGGTAAACACTCACCTTAAATACTTATGAGTGAGAGGGAAACACTTTCTTATGAGTGGTGATGATATCTTTTATTGATGGTTCATATAAAAGCTTTGCTGTTTATTAGCTCAGATTTGTAAGATAGGAATGATGTGGAATGAAGAATTCTGTACAAACTAAAAATAAAGTCTTAGTAAAAGGATTTTCATTATTGTTTTGATGATGCATTGAATCTCCCTTGGTGTGTTCTGGTTTGCTTGAGGACAAACAAAAATCTAAGTTTGGAATAGTGATGAATGCAGATTTTACTAGTTTTTTAAGTAGTTTTTTAGGTTGTCAAAAACCTTGTATGCGATACCACTGTTGGGTTGGGAGAGTATTTAAGTAGGGAGCCTGCCTTATAACTAGTAAGACACCATAATGTAACTCCAAAACATTAAAGTAATGAGTACATGAGTCCATCTCTTTATAAACTCCTAACTTGTTCATATTTCATTTCATGTGGGGCTCAATTCATACTTGATTCCAACATATGAAACCATGCAACAATCTTATCATGATTCTTCAATTCTTTTTGTGTTTGAGTGGACAAGGTTATTAGTTTTTGTGAGAAGTCCCAAGTCATTGTTAAATAGTTTATTGACATTAATTACTCCTACTGATTGCTTTCATGGTTTTACTTTCAGCAAATTTCGTTTTCATTTCTCTGAGTCGATTATTTTTTTAGAGATTAATTTAAGCATTTGATAGAAATTGGGGAATAGGATGCTGATAAAGAAGATGAGTAGAAAAACAAGAATGAGTTATTTGAATTGTTGAAAGACTTCTTCAACAAATTAATGATTATGAAAAAAAATGAGAAAGGGTGAGAATGAAGTAGCAAATACTAAACAATAAAGAAAAAATAAAATTATATATATATATATATATATAATTTTATTTTTTCTTTATTGTTTAGTATTTGCTACTTCATTCTCACCCTTATATATATATTAGTTGTCCTTATTAGCTTTTTCATTAATGTTTACTGTACAATGTTAATTGGACATGACAGGTTACAAATTTTTTTATAAGAATAAAAATGAAATTCGTATAACAAATAAGATATATATTTCAATCAATTAAAAAAAAATATCAACGTTACATCAACTATAAGAGCATTATTCATCAACTGCTAATTTTAAAGAACCAAGAAGAATCACACTATTCTCAAAGAAAAAATTTAAAGCATTATTCATCAAATGCTAATTTTAAACAAATAATATAATAATTTTAATAGATCTACAAAAAGTAATTTAAGAACTCAAACTTTAGTTCTATCAATAAAATAAAAAAATTCTTTAAACACACGTCCATTTGGATTACAACACTAAAAGTGTCCTAACTAATATAAATAATATTAATTTTCATTGCAAGCACGTGATCCAAAGCAAAAAAAAGAGACATCTTATTTTGTCTATGAAATAATTTGCAAGTTAATATATATATATATATATATTGCAAACGTGTAAGATTGATATAATTATAGGTATTTTTAATTTGATATATTTTATTGTTATGTTTGATTCTATTCTTATTTTATTAGTATTTTTTTAAATGAATAATTTTATATTTTTAAAAATTTATTATAAAAATAAAATTTATGTTTCTGTTAAAGGGATCAAAATATAAGAACATTCATGTCAAAATTAGTAGTAACGTATATATTACTATATAATTCATGAAATTAGATTTATTTTCTTAATTTTATGCAAAGTAAATAAACAAATTTTACTTTTATAGTCAAATGTCTCCCATTATAATTTTTAAAATAATTAAATAGATATTTTAACTTATACTAATTTATAATAACGATGTATAATGAATTGTATTTCAATAAATTAGATATTTTTTAAAGAGATAAAAATTTAAATAAAAATTCTTAACTAAAAATTCTTTAATGTTTTGGTTTATAATAAAATGTAAATAAATTTTTATTTTTAATTCACACAATAATTTATAACAATGATATATATAGATTTCGTCATTTGTATGTTATAAAATTGTAAGAGTATTAGTTTAGCTGCACTACTTAATACCATGTATATGTGAATGGTTCAAAATCTTATTCTCAAAAATATTAAATATCTATCATTATTTTCTAAAAAAAAATGAAAAAAAGTTAATTACTCTATCATTCACATATTATACAACTCATAAAATTAATTTTTCATACAAAACTAAAAATAAAAAATAAATCTTTTATCTATGTTTCATTCCACTCCTTATTTGTTTGATTACTTTTGATGTACATTTTCTTACATATTTTCACATATTTAGGTTATTCTTTATAATTCAAATGTAACTAGTAGAACTTCAAGATAAATAACTACTATTTCTATTTGCTTTGTTGTGTATTTGTTTTTACATTGATAGAGTTTTAAAGTTTGTTTGTTCCCTCATACACTACTAATTATGCATAACATGAATGGATCTACATCTAGGTTTAAGTAACTTTAAACTTAGAAGATCTGTGTAACAATAACAATTTGAATGTAAGTCATGTTTGTCTGTCATGAGAACTCTAGTTATAGTTTATCTTCTTTGTATATGTCTTGTATATCTGGTAAACTACCTATTGATTATGGACGACATTATGAAATTGATATTAGCTGCATGATATTTTATCCTTAAACTTACAAAATACCTAAAATGAGAATGCATATTATCAATGTCTTAGATCTTTAACTTAGAACTCTAGCAACCTTGACATGATATAGATAATAGAGCACACTTTCTTTATTATCTCACTACATTTTGTCTTTACATTATTATGAAGATTATTGATTATATATATAATTTTTTTTTTCTTTCTCTTCCTTTTTTATCCTTTTTTTATCATCTAAAGAAATCAATAATTTTTAAACATTATATGCTTTTGTCCTCTTTATTATTACGTGGGAAATAAAACTACTTACAAATGAAGGAACTTTTATTTTTCAACCACTTGTAGTAAAAGAATTCCACTTTAACAAAATTGATAATTTGTTATAAACAAAGTAAATGATTGTTATTCTTAATATTTGTACTTCATAATATATGTAATTAGCTCATGATGCCATATAAATATGTTTAGTGGTTTGATAATAATATCACATTAAATTTTGCATATCACATCGTTGACATGATGTTTTCAAAAAGGTTATACAGTGGATACAGTTGTTTTTAGTCTTTATACGTAGGTGTATATATTTTAAAAGAAGAATATACCCTTGAAAGTATATTAAATAAATAAATCATAACTTGTTAATACACCTTTATGTGCTGAAATATTAGAGTTTAATATACGTAATCATTTACATAAAAACAACGAGATACATGTAATATGTAACACTCTCTTCTCATTTTTTGATGATTATGTTTTATTTAATATTAAGTAGCATTAGAGTGCATTTAGAAGGGAGTATACATGATTTTTGTAAGGATTTTGGTGCAGAAGATCTCGCTTAAGCGAGATTAAGTGTGCAGGAATACCTTGTTGCAAGGCTATCTCACTTAAGCGAGATGATTCTTGCTCAGGCAAGATAAGATAAATTCAGCCCAACTGTCACCTTGCTTAGGCGAGAGTGATCTCGCTCAGGCGAGCTAGGGATCTCGCTCAAGTGAGATGGGTCGCTCAGGCGAGGACTCATAGGAAAAATAGCATGCTCTTTGGACACTATCTCGTTTAGGCGAGGTGAAGCTTGCTTAAGCGAGCATATCAGAAAATAGTGGGCGAGACCACTGTCTACATATTTCGCTCAAGCGACAGAGACGTCACTCAAGCAAGATGTCGTCGCTCAAGTGAGCTGTCCCTCACTCAAGCGAGAATGCGCGGGGCTGAGGAGTATTTAAAAAAAATTTTGCATGTGAAATTCATTTTATTTCAAACTCACGTCTTTCTCTCAA